CTTCAAGATGTAGCTCAGTGGTGGCTCTTTGGGATGTTTTCCCACATGTCTCCAGGCTGGGTGACATCCTTTCTGAATTTCTAGCCATCTGGCTGTGACTTCTGTTACAGCCCTCATAACATAGTAAAGCTACTATCAGTTTACTTATCTACAAGGACCATGAACATGGATCGACTATTCTTTCTTCCTTTCCTTTCCTTTCCTTTCCTTTCCTTTCCTTTCCTTTCCTTTCCTTTCCTTTTCTTTTCTTTTCTTTTCTTTCCTTCTTACTTTCTTTCTAATTTTGTGAGTCTAAGGGAGATACTAGGTAAATATATATTGAACGGATAAATGGATGAATTTTCCTCCATTTCTCTCTTCTTTCTTCCCTCTCATTCTTTTCTACTTTCTTTCCTTCTTCCTTCCTTTCTACCAAACTTCCTCTATTCCTTCACTCTCAAACCTGGCCCTTGATGTATTATCTTAGTTATTCCTTGCAGGAACTCTGTGAGATAAACACGATTATCCCCATTTTGCAGGTGTGGAAACAGGATCAGGGTGATAGGCAACTTGCCCATCCAAAGGGGCAGACCGCTTACAGAATTGTCTTCCAATGTTGCTGTCTGTGCTCAAAACATTTTGGCAATTTTTCCTTGGAATTCCCTTTTGGCCAGTCTGTGAACCACAAAAGAAAAACAATCAGTTTTGGTCACTCTCAGAAAGGATGATTTCCAGTCTCATCATCCCAATTCATGTTTGTTTCCAAATAAACCTAGATCATCTCATAAATCTGTTTTGAACTGGTCTCAGTTTATCAATAACCAGTATTGTGGTTGGATTATCCTTGTGGTTCTTAGTATGATTGCAAGATGCCCTTCAGCAATAACCATCAAGAAATTTTGAAAAAAAAATAGAGGTTTATCATTTAAAGAACCTGGAAATTGTGCAGCAGAGGTGGGGCCATACAGTGAGGTCATGGGTATAGAGTGCATGGGTCTGGTTCTGCTTTTATTGGGGTCAAGGATGGGGGGTTTTGTGGGCTCATTCTTTATTGGTGAATTTAAAACACAAGAGGGGAGATTTAAAGTGTGGGAAGAGAAAAAACAAGTGGCTCAAAAGGTCAGTTATTGAAATCAACCAAAATTTCTAAAACAAAGGAGCCTCAGTTGGGGCAGGCAGTCTGTCTCTTATCTAGTCCTGTGGTTGATAATATGTTTATTCAAGGTAGCCATCATTGAATTGGATGCCTCTTTAAAGTGAATGTCTTGGCAATCAAATCTTAAGTTAGGCACTTTCACTGCAAAAAAGAAAGAAAACAATTGTCAAAGCCTATGCAAAGATGCCCACTCTTGCTACTTTTATTCAACATATTATTAGAACATATATTTAACATATAATTACCACAGTAATTAGGTAAGAAAAAGAGATAAAAGGCATCCAAATTGGTAAGGAGTAGGTAAAACAGTCATCATTTGTAGATGATGTGATATTACGAATAGAAAAAGAGAAAAACCTATTAGAACTAATAAATTAATTCAGTGAAGTTGCAGGATACAAAATTAACATGCAGAAATCAGTTGCTTTTCTATATATTAATAATCTATCAGAAAGAGAAATTAAGAGAATAATTCCATTTATAATTGCATCAAAAATAATAAAATACCTAGGATAAAATTTAATCAAGGTGGTGAAAGTCCTGTAGTCTGAAAACTGTAAGACACTGATGAAAGATATTTCAGATGACACCAGCAAATGGAAAGATGCTCATGGATTGGAAGAATTAATATTGTTAAATTAATATTGTTCAAATGTCCATACCCAAAGCGATCTACAGATTCAGTGCAGTCTCCAACACAATACCAATTGCACTTTTCACAGAAATAGAACAAAGAATCCTAAAATTGTGTGGAACCACAGGAGACCCCAAATAGCCAAAACAGTCTTGAGAAAGAACAAAGCTGGAGGGGTCATACTTCCTGATTTCAAACTATATTGCAAAGCTATACTAATCAAAACTATATTGTACTGACATGGAAACAGACACATAAATTAATAGAATAGAATGGAGTCTAGAAATAAACCCACACATGTATGATCAGCTAATCTATTCCAAAGGAGGCAAGAATATAAAATGGGGAAGAGACAAACACTTCAATGAACGATGTTGGGAAAAATGGACAGCTACATGCCAGAGTGATACTAGACCACTATCTTACAGCATATATAGAAATAAATTCAAAGTGGGTTAAAGCTTTGAATGTAAGGCCTAAAATCATAAAACTCTTAGAAGAAAACATAGGCAATAAGCTCTTTGACATCAAGCAATATTTTTCTGGTCAGTCTCCTCAGACACGGGCAACAAAAGCTAAAATAAACAAATGGGATTATATCACAATAAAAAGCTTTTGCACAGCAAAAGAGACCAGCAACAAAATGAAAAGGCAACCTACTTCATGGGAGAAGATATTTGCAAATCCTATTATCTGATAGGGGGTTAATATCAAAATATATAGATAACTTTCATAAATTATTAGCCAAAAAACCCCAAACAACTTGATTTAAAAAATAGGCAGAAGACATGAATAAACATTTTTCTAAGGAAGACATACAGACAGTCAATAGCACTTGAGAAGATGCTCAAAGTCACTGATTGTCAGGGAAATACAAATCAAAACCACATTGAGATACTGCCTCATACCAGTCAGACTGGCTATTATCAGAAAGAGGAAGAAAATAAGGGTTGCTGAGGATATGGAGAAAAGGGAACCCTTCTACTCTGTTGGTGGGAATGTAAATTGGTGCAACCACTATAGGAAACAGTATGGAAGTTCTTCAGTTTCATTCTTCTTCATATAGGTGTCCAATTTTCCCAACACCATTTATTGAAGAGTCTGTCTTTTCCCCATTTTAAATTCTTGCCTCCTTTGTCATAGATTAGTTGACCATATAAGCATGGGCTTCTTTCTGAGCTCTCTATCTTATTCAGTTGATCTATATGGCTACTTTTGTGCCAGTACCATACTGTTTTAATTACTATAGCTTTGTAGTATATCTTGAAATCTGGGATTGTGATACTTCTAGTTTTATTCATCTTTTTCAAGATTGCTTTGGCTATTTGGGGTATTTTGTGGTTCCACATGAATTTTAGAATAATTTGTTCTAGTTCTGAGAAAAAGTGCTATTGATATTTTGATAGGGATTGCACTGAATCTAGATTGCTTTGGGTGGAGTGGACATTTTAACAATAATTATCCTGGGGCACCTGGGTGGTTTAGTCAGTTAAGTGTCCAACTCTTGATTTTGGCTCAGGTTGTGATCTCAGGGTTATGAGATCATTCCTTGTGTTGGCTCCACATTGGTTGTGGAGCCTGCTTAAGATTCTCTCCCTCTCTAAAACAAACAAACAAATGAACAAACAATATTAAATCTTCCAATCCATGGGCATGGACTATCTTTCTATTTCTTTGTGTTGCCTTCAGTTTCTTTCATCAGTGTCTTAGAGTTTTCAGTGTAGAGAGCTTTTACTTTCTTGGTCAAACTTATTCCTAGGTATTTTATTCTTGGTGAAATTGTAAATGAGATTGTTTTCTTAATTTCTCCTTCTTCTGTTTCATTATTAGTCTAAAGAAATGCAACAGATTTCTTTCTTTTTTGGGAGGGAGAGAGTAAGAGAGAGTGAGGAGGGTTGTGGGGGGAGAAAAAGAGAGAGAGGGAGAGAGAGAATCTTAAGTAGGTTCCACTTCCAGCACAGTGCCTGATGTGGGGCTTGATCTCAAGACTCTGAGATCATGACCTGAGCCAAAATCAAGAGTCAGATGCTTAACCAACTGAGCCACCCAGGCACCCCACAACAGATTTCCTTATATTAATTTTGTATCCTGCACCTTCTTTTGGAATGATGAAAATATTCTAAAATGTATCGTGTGGATGGTTGCACAACACTGTGAATATACTAAGAACCACTGAATTTTACACTTTACAGGGGTGAATTTTGTTTAAAAAATTCATAATTACCATCATTAAATATATACCAGTTGCTCACTTGCAGTCACTGCCCTGCGAGACACTGTGGCACATGGATGAGAAAGAGAACACTTGTTCTTTGTGCTCTGGGAATGTCTCAATGGATATTCTTAAATGGAAGATGAAATAGATCCACAAATAGTTTAATCAAGATGTTGCAATACTCAGTGCTAATCTCTGGGCATAGACCAGACTCAGAAAGATCTCAACACCTCTGGGTGCCAGCTATAGCAGTTCAGAAAGATTTCAAAATGTGGGGCACTCCAATATTTATGGAACGTAGACATAGTATTATTTATGGCTTACAGTACTGTGAGGTACCTGGGGGCAGGAGCTATGCCTTGTGTTCATTTTGATTCCCTTGCTTAGTGTTATGTCTGGTCTGCTGGCAGGAGTGTGTGTTTGGTGATTGAATGAACTCTTTTGGAAGTGCCCTGGTTTATTCCTAGGACAAAAATGCCTTCTAGCTTATGACTGCCTGTTCTGACCAGCCTGAGGGTTGACCCTGTGGGGAAGGTGTTGCAGAATTCACCAACTATCCTCATGCAATTGTTTCTTTTCTCACAACCGGTAACTGTTTTGTTTCTTTGGTGTTTTCACTCTGATTTTGGCTGAAATGGTGACTTGGAATAATATGTGGATACTTCTGGAGTGTTGTTCTTTCTTCCCGGTAGTATACTGAAGACTTTGGGCTCCTGGGTCAGTGAGATTTAAGAAAACAAAAGCTGGAATTAACCTCACTTTCTTCTTCTTCTTCTTCTTCTTCTTTTTTTTTTTTTTCTTTTGATCATGTTTATCAAACAGCAGTGCTATAGATTTTGTGTAGCTTATGGATCTTTGCTGTAATAAGAATTTGTTTTTCTTTTCTTTTTTTTTCCTCTGTGAAGTTATTTTATGTTGATTCTTTCTGTTAAATATCCTTTGCTTGCACTGGACTTTTCTTTGTGTTGATTTTTTGCTTCATTTTTTTTTTTTTTTCCATTTCCCATGCTGTTCAGTTACTGGATGCCAGAAGAACCAAGGTTTGTCCACTCTTTGCAGCTTGTTTGTTTTGCTCTGCACAGCCTCACCTCCTTGTGTGTTTGTGTCTGTCTGTCTGCATTTATTCCCTTTTGCTTGCAGATGCAGTAATCCTGTTTACTAAACCTGTTCACAGCTTTATTTGTAAAAAATAAAGTCCTTGTTTGTGTCTACTTGTAGTGGATGCTATTATTTTCATTTTTTAAATGGAAATGCATTTATCATCGAAAGTATGGATAGTAGAATAAAGAACACCTTAGGAAACAAGGAATACTGAGTCTGGAGCATTGCGGGCCTAAAGAAGGTGTGTTTGTGAGACTTTCCCTTCTAACCCTTTCCACTTCCTCAATTAAAACTTTGTAGATGTATAATTTCCCTTGTGACTGACACTAATATATTGTTTCTGTGTATGTGTACATTTCTCTTCTCCTGAGACATTCAGAAAGCATCACTGAATTAATTTCCCCCTCTCCATGTGCTGTCCCATGCTTCTGAAGTCATCCTGGAGGACTTAACGGCTGGCCCTCTGGACCTACCTCATGATAAACATTCCATCTCCATAGTCTGGTAGTAGCAAATAGCGCTTGGCATTTCCATTGACTTTTTCCCCTTCTTTCTCCTCTCCTGCTCCATCTTTCTTATCACAGCACCTGCAGTTGACAATCCAAGCCCTTCAGGATGAACTTCGGACCCAGAGAGACCTCAATCACCTCCTACAGCAAGAGAGTGGCAACCGTGGAGCTGAGCACTTCACCATTGAGCTGACTGAGGAGAACTTCCGACGGCTCCAAGCTGAACATGACAGACAAGCTAAAGAGCTGTTCCTTTTAAGGAAGACCTTGGAGGAAATGGAGCTGAGAATTGAAACACAGAAACAGACCCTCAATGCCCGAGACGAGTCGATTAAAAAGCTTCTCGAGATGTTGCAAAGTAAAGGGTTGCCTTCTAAAAGTCTCGAGGATGACAATGAACGAACACGACGGATGGCAGAGGCTGAGTCTCAAGTCAGTCACTTAGAAGTGATTTTAGACCAGAAGGAGAAGGAAAACATACATCTTAGAGAGGTAAGGACATTCCCTCTATTGCCCCAAACCCATATTTTATAAGTTAAAATATGTTACCAAGTTATTTTCACAGGTTGGAAGATATCTGCAGCCTTAACAAAATTTCCTGGCATCTGTTTTATAATCTTCCTGTCTGTTTATCACCTTTAAACTGGAATTTTGCATTAGATTTTTTTCTTTGCTTACTACACATATGTTCCATTGTTATTTGACACATATTCAGGACCCAAGTGTGTGCAGCACATGCCAGCTCTAAGGTGGTTTACCGTTACTTTCCCACAGATGGCCAGTTTCAGGGTTTTTTAAGTACAGTACTAAGTTTTAGATGTTTATCAAATACATCTCTCTATAGGAGCAAAACAAATAGGTGATTAGCAAAACAATAAACCTAAATATTTTTATAGCTGAATTGGGGCAGCATTTGCAGAAAGTAAAGCATATGGATATTTCTGGGAAGAACGGTAAAATGGGCAGACCAGTTTTGAACATTTAGGTTTAAGATAATCTTCATCTGCATTTTCTTTTGGCTAGGAAAAACTGTCCCAGGTTTCTTGAATATGCATTTCGGCACTTAGTGGATTAAATAATTTGAAGTACTTCAGAGGCTCTCCGGCCTGCCACCACTGTTGAATACTGGGATGCTCAGATATCTGAGGATATGTAGTTGGATAGAGCTTAGAAAAAAATGTGGGTGATAGCCAAGGTTTGAAACTTTTACAGCAGTTCCTTGCCGCTATGGTGGATGTGGATTTCAAAAGTACCCTGTAGGCAAAATGTTGAGGGAGGCACAGATCTCACAGAAAATAGAAAGCAATAAAATGGCATTAAGTTTATTTTAAAAGTTTTCTATAGCAATAAATAAACATTCCAAAAGATATTTGCTTTCAGAATTAGATTTCTTGGCATTATATACCTTTTCAGATGGGCAGTTCTTGTGAGTCATTTTTTTATTGGTTCAGAAAACATGGCTTCCATGATGGGGCTTGATGCTCCCAGGAGTTTCCTCTGATATAGATTGTATTTGCTTAGAAAATTTGAATGGACTTTTGTATCTTTAGACTTAATGTCCTCCATGCTTATTCTCCCTTGTTTTATTTTCATGAGACATTAACAGCATGTTTGGGAAGCCACATGGCTTGGTTTTGGATTGAGATGCTTAAAGAGATGTTTTGCTGGGACTGGGTCTTCCCGTCCATATTCCAAGAGGCTGAATGTCATCTTAGGCTTCTAAGATGGCCCCTAATGATGTACGCTTCTTGGAAATCATACCCTTGTGTAAATCCATGTCCTCGAGTATAGGCTGAACCTAGCGACTTGATTCTAAACAACAAAATATGGTGAAGGTAATGGGATGCCAGTGTGACTTCCATGATTAGGTTATATAAGACTGTTCTTTTCATCTTGTTAGCACACTCTATTTTATTCTCAACTTGCCTGCTTTGATGAAGCAAGCTCATGTGAGAGAGGCCCGTGTGGTAAGGGACTGAGAGTAGCCTCCAGTCAATACCCAATGAGGAACTGAGACCCTCACTCAAACAGCCACAATGAACTGAAAACTGCCAAAAACCACTTAGTGTGCTTGGAAGTGGATCCTTCCTCAGTGCAGCCTTCAGATAATATGACAGGCCCTGGGCTGACACCTTGGCTGCAGCTTTGTGAGAAACTGAAGCAAAGGACCCACCTAAGCTGTGCCTGGGTTCCTGACCCACAGAATCTGTGAGATAATAAATGTGTGTTGCTTTAAGCTGCTGAATTGGGGGTAATTTGTTACACAGCAATAAATAACCGATAGAGTGGAGCAGAGACTAATCTCTTCCTGCCTCACTCCATAGACTTTACATTGAGTTTTCCGAAGAGAAACAGTAACTACTGGCAGTAGTCACTTGCATGTAAAGCAACCATGGATTTTGAAATTTTGGTTGTGTTATTTTAGAACTGTGGCTGGAGATTAACATAGTTGAAAAAATCTGCTGCTTTATTTTGGGTGCCAAGGGATCATGTTGCATGTATAGCAGGACAACGATGCCAGAGAAACCTCCATCTGCAGCACTGACCTTCACTCCATGTTGGGGTCTTGTGGTCAGGGCAGAGTCACTCTTTTTCTCTTATTAGATTCTGTTCACTGGTAGTACTAAGTAGATAGTGCCTTGATTCTGTTGTGTGGATGCCTCCACTTAAATGAATCTAAACAAAATTCAGTTTGTTTTACAAGATTACTTTGCCCTCACAGTGGTCTGGCCAGGAAATAGATCATGTTTAGAGCCTTAACCATCAGTCTGAGAGCCCACAGAGAGTGGTACAGAAAATGCAGCCCAACATATTCAGCTAGTTTCCTTGGGCATCAAATGAAAGTCAGTGGATTGCCTTTTTCTTGGCTTATCAAGAAGGTGAATGTGGAAAAGGTGTCTCTATAAAAAAAAAAAAAATCTCATTTTAAACTTAACTCAACAAAAAGACTTTGGAGGCCTGAAAGGATGTTCCCCAAGAGAAGGATTGTACTATCTTCTGAGAGCCATTTGTTACATTTTCAGGAATTTTGTGAGCCTGCTTTTAAACCATTGATAACTTGAAATTAGTCATGGTGGGAGTATTTATACCATGGAAATCAGCAAATGCTACCCCCAGGGCCTATGCCCCTGCCACCCCATCCCTGAAGCCCATTTACCAACACGTCTCTGAATAAATGCCATGAAATGTTTACCCACAATACAGCAGGAAGAGGAAAGTTAAATAATGCAAGAATTATGAGTATCCTTTTTTTTAAAAGATTTTATTTATTTATTTGACAGAGAGAGATCATAAGTAGGCAGAGAGGCAGGCAGAGAGAGAGGAGGAAGCACGCTTCCTGCTGAGCAGAGAGCCCGATGTGGGGCTCGATCCCAGGACCCTGGGATCATGACCTGAGCCGAAGGCAGAGGCTTTAACCCACTGAACCACCCAGGTGCCCCAAGAATTATGAGTATCTTAACCACTCATCATTCATTAGAAGTTTTCGTAACAGCATCTGGATAGATGCTTATGTGTCAGACACTTCGAAGAATACTTTTCATTGATTCATATTTATTTAACTTTCAAAACTACCTGGTGCATTTGGTTGTCCATCCATTCAGTGAGCACTTACTGAGGATCTGCTTTGGGATAAAGCAATCATAGCTAATAAAGTTTGACTTCATCATGCTTATATTCTGTAGGGGTGAAACATAATTTCATAGTTAAACAGAGAAGTAACATGAAGAAAAGAAGAGGATGAAGAGGGACGCCTGGGTGGCTCAGTTGGTTAAGCGGCTGCCTTTGGCTCAGGTCATGATCCCAGCATCCTGGGATCGAGTCCCACATCGGGCTTCTTGCTCGGCAGGGAGCCTACTTCTCCCTCTGCCTCTGCCTGCCACTCTGTCTGCCTGTGCTCGCTTGCTCTCTCTCTCTGACAAATAAATTAAAAAAAAAAAAAATCTTAAAATAAAAAAAAAAAAAAAAAGAAGAGGATGAAGAACTAGTGACCTGGGTGGGGCCAACTTGATATTGGGTGGTCAGGGAAGGCCTCTTTGGAGGGGGTGATGTTGTGAACTGAGACCTGAATGATAAGAAGGAACCAGCCATGTGAAGCTCTCAGAAGACTGTTCCAGTCATGTGGAAAGACTCAGGCCTGGGAGGTAGGTGCTATTATTTGGCCCATTTTGCCCGGGGAAACTGAAGAAGAGGTGACACTAAGAAGCTTGTTCAGCCTCCCAGTGGTGAAGCTGGTATTGGAATTGGGGTGACTAGACTTTCAGCCATTAAATCATTTCATGAAATCCCTTTTCTAGAGGAATCTTTCCCAAAATGTGCTTTGCAGAACAGCCATTTTGTGGGATGCTAATAATGTGCTATGAGAGAAAAAGGGCTACAGGGCCAAATGAACTTGGGAAAATGCTGGATTCCACAGAGTTTACTGTAGGACTCCTCAGACTCCTTAATACGCAAGTGTGTATCAGTCATTCCCAGGAAGGGGAAGGTTCTCAAGCTTATTTAACTTGCTTTTGTCTTGCTGCACTGGTGCTCTTCATAAAACACTTTGGAAAAAAGCCGTGCTAGAAAACAAAAAGTGTGCTTTTAACTTGTGACCTGCAAAATATGTAAAAATATATAAATAGTTATTTCCCATGGCCAAATAACTGGGTAATTTCCTACATTAGTTATTCTAGAAGGCAAAGTTTATTGTAAGCTGTTTCCATATTCTCTACTGATTTTTAGAATGTTCTTCTGTCAGGGTATTTTTTTTTTTTAACTTTTTTAGTGGAAAAATGTGGCTGACTGCTTTTTGTATTAAAGCAGTAAGAATAGCCTAGCTTGAATAAAGAAGTAGCCTGACCTCTGTTAATTTAAATGAATCTAAAGCAGGATTTAAAATGTACTTGAGGTTTTAAGTTCAGTGTGTTCCTGATTTCTTTTTCATTTTGCACAGTTCAACCCAGTTTGGGGCTAGATGGCGTAATGTTGGAGAATAGAGTGCTAGTGGTTTTATGATTCATTCTCAGGCAGAGGTGTTGGGCTTCATAAACCCCATCTCCTGGAATACTGGTCTTGTTTAGCCTATTGTTTGAGGAGATTTTGAGTTGGCAGGAGTTGCACATGGGGAGGGTCGGGTTGCTTTAGTGTTTTGTTATCTTTCGGTGGTCTGGAAAAGGCTGAGGGCGAAACCACTTCTTTGCCTGGCAGGAAAGAGCAACAAAAAGACTATGATCTCAACTTATTTGGAAGACCAAAACCACTGCCCAAGAACTACAGCGGATGTGCTAATGTGAGCCAAAGTGTTGGCTGCAACAGAACATTACTCACTAGTGTCGGGGGATGTTTTTGGATACTGGTTGATTTGATAAGACATTATTGGATGTGGTAATAGTTTACCTTGTTCTCTAGCTTTTTCTGCACAGAACATATTGTTCTCTGTAAAGGTTTTGGTAATCAAGTACCTAAAATGCTATTGATTTCATTAAAGAAAAAGTGGGTTTATATATACCAGA